GACTGCGTGCTGCGAGCCGCGAGCTATGGGCGAGCTGGAAGCTGGAAGTTTTTTGTGTTTTTTTTTTTTTCAAGTGCGGAGACGCGGAGACCACCGCGCAAGTGCAAAAATGTTCGAAAAGGGTAGGTAGGTACGTAGGACTCCCCACAACATTGAATTATTATGGGGGGGGGAGGGGGGTGGCCCATTGAAATCGGACATTGGCCGTGGCCGATTTGGAATCGGCCGTAGCCGACTAGGAATCGGCCGCAGCCGACTGACATTCGGCTATCCCCTGGCCAAAATCGGCTGCTTTGTTTGCAAAATCGGCCACTTTGTTTGCAAAATCGGCCGTTTTGTTTTGCGGCCGTTTTCCGGCCGAAATTTTCAGAAATCGGCTCTTTCGGCCGCGGCCGATGGAGGACAGGCCTACCTGTGATAACGCAGGCTATGCGGTCGTTTCAACCTTCAAAAAAAGCTCTTCGGATTTTGTTTACTTTGTACAGTGTGGTCTGCTCCATCTGCTCTTTTCTTTTGAAATGAGCAAGGGCCAAAATCGGGTACACCCGGTGCAAATACGGCCATAATCGGGTACCCTCTACAAGACGCTGCTGGAGCGACCGCATGGCACCATCTGATTGGCCGACGCCCACTCCTACCCGACCTTGTCCACCGGGTGCACCCGATCTTGGCTATTCACCCCCGGGGTACCCGGTTTTTCTTCCCTTACCCGAAAAATGGCTGGGCTGTTTAATCCAAAACCGATGCACACAATCACGGGTCGGACGCACACCACTTGCCCTCGTTAGTCGCCAATGAGAAAGTAGCAGGAGGGAGAGAATATGTCTATTTTTTAGATGAGCCCCGTGTGTGTCGTATCTCGTGAGGGAGGCATCAAGCTCTCCTTCTCGATCATTTGCACAGACCGCCTGCCGTTTCCCCCAAGGGAGACTTCCACAGCCGGCGGGTGGTCTACCTCCGCTCGCCGGGCCGTCAAAACGTCCGAATTCGAGGGCAGGGCGTTGCTGACATGTACTTGTGTGCATGGGTTTCGGTCAAACAGCACGCCATTTTCGGGTAGGGAAAAGGAAAACCGGGTACTCTTCCGGGGGGTGAGTAGCCAAGGTCGGGTGCACCCGGTGGAAAGACGGTCAAGGTCAGGCAAGGGTGGGCGTCGGCCAATCAGATGGTGCCATGCGGTCGCTCGCAGCAGCGTCTTGTAGAGGGTACCCGATTATAGCCGTGTATGCACCGGGTGTACCCGATTTTTGCCACTGCTCTCAATGAGTCTTTTTTTTTTTCCTTTCGTTTTCTTTTTCCTTCGTTTTCATTATTTTTCCAATCTTGCAAGGGCGTGTTCGGTAAGGTACCGGTACGCTCGGTACCGGTATGAACATGGTACCGAACGTACCGAACATCTCGGTACCGGTATGGGCATCGTACCGGTACCGTACCGGTGATACCGGCGGTATTTGTACCGAGCATCGCACTTGGCCGAAAAAACGAAAGGCACTTCCCTCGCCACCGCCGCCTTTACAGGGCACGCAGATGCGGTCAAGGCTTTCGCCGAAGCGGGCGCTCGCCTGGGGGACTCATAGTTCGACAAACACGCCATCCACATGGCCACCATTAGGCAAGACTTGGGCATAGCGAAAGCTCTAGTCTCCAGGGGTGCTCACCTTACGGTTGGGTACCCGCAAGACCTCAACCGCTGCCCCCTCCACCTCCAAGACGCATAAAACCAGGGGATTATGTTTGACAATTGTCTTGAAACTATGTTGTTAATATTACCCTGGTCAGGGCTCGGCTTGGTTGGTACCCTCTCGAACACTGCGGTGTCGAGGGTTAGACACCGCAGACCATGCCAGCCCCTTGTTTGCTGTGGCTCGAGACTCGCTTTTTGTTTCCTCTCCCGACAATCACCGCGTGGGCATATAGTTTGTTGCGGTTTCATATGTGAATGACATGCACGACATCTACTTCTGTACCCCCAGTGGCCTGGGACTTTCAATTGGGAATCCATCCATCATGATGATCAAGTTCGAATCATTTTGATCATGTTATCGTGGCGCGCACTCTGTGTGGCGTCCCACCGTTGACTCATGAACATATTCCCACGTATGCAGAACTTCAGATCCATCGGTCATGTATCTATTAGACTAATCGTGTGTTTTCTGGTCACTCAAGCAGTGATGGACATCACCTGTGAAACGGGTGCCGATACGATAATTCAAGATATCGGTCAAAAACTGACGAAAATCAATCGATGTTAAATGCCGATATTCCCACTATCGATGTGTCGATAAGCGGATACAACAAAATGGCCCCTGTCTTCCTGTCTCTCCAACATTTTACCATTGATTCTGTGGTCGATTCGACGGCAGGCACAATGACACGATACCGCCGAGACCTGAAGTGTAATGTACACATTTTGTTGACGCAAATGCATTGTTAGGATTGTTATATTGTGAGTCAGCGCTGACTGAGCAGTCTAGATGGGTTTTATTAATAGTCTAGGCTATTCTGACAAAGGGTAAGTAAATGATTGTGCCTCCCGACGGCAACCCCTGCATAATAGTCTAAGCTGTACCAGAGTGACACAATAAAAGAGCAACCACACGATGTGGCAGCAGGCGTAGGCTCCCCCCTCCTGCTGTCTGCCGCGCATCCACTGCAGGTAATCTGCTAGTCCATCACCATCCTGGTCGTTCAGATCCATATGAACAGGCGAAGCGACCTTTCGGGGATGTTTCCCTGCTACATATCCCCTATTTTTTTCCAACCACTGCAACTCCCACCTACAACAAATCGAGATGAGCAACTGCTGGCCGTGGCTTGCTGGCGCACGGGCACGGTGTAGAGAACGCCGTCCTTCCCTCCTCGAAGATTTTTGCTGACCTGACCGGTTGTGCCAACGCGCGTGTGTTCTCCCTCGGCGTATGACTGATGACGGAAAGAGCACTACTTCCACACAGAGTATTCGGACCATCTTGCAAGGGTCCGACGGCGCTATATTCGACCTCCTCTGTGCCGGGGCCTCGAATCAGCAGTGGACAGAGTGGCTTCGGACTCCGGTGGAATATGCTGTGGCTGCTGGCAATTTGGACCTCGTTGTCAAGCTTGCCCAAGCGGGGCAAGCGGGGGCAAGAAACAGTGCTATGCCCTCGGCTGTGAGAAGAGGCCACGATGCGTTCGTTGCGGAGCTATACTCCGGCTGGGAGCATTGCCAAGCGAGCCAGACGAGCGTGGCAACACTCCTCTTCATATCGCTGCCAGCCTTGGCCATGACGCCATCAATGCGCTACTGCTACTTCAGAAGGCTGCCGTTAATTCGCTTGATGGCGAGGACCGCACGCCTCTTCATCTAGCAGCTGGGAAAGACTCTCTTGCTGGTGTCAAAGCTCTGGTCTCTGCCCACGCGGATCTTCGCCTCCGCTTCGGTGACGCTGATGAATCACCGATGGACTGTGCTGCGTGCTTCGGTTATGTGGACATGATGCTCACGCTGACCCAACACGGGGTTGGCGTAAATGATGCTGCCGCTACCGGCATGACTCCCTTGCACATCGCTGCCGGTCAAGCCCAACTTCCTGCGATCGATGCACTTGTGGAGGCTGAGGCCAACGTCGGGGCGGAGGAATATGGAACCGGTGGTACGCCGCTACATTTGGCGACAGGGTCTGCCTCGGTCGATGCTGTGGCTTGTTTATTGAGGCACGGGGCAGACGCAAACAAGCTTAACGGTGATCGACTCTCCGCTCTCCACCTGGCTGCCAAGGATGGCGCAGCTGACATGGTACATGCACTCTTAGCCGCGGGTGCTCAGCCAAACCTTCGCTCAGGTAAAGATTAAAAGACAAGCCTTACCGCTCTGCATATGGCTATCTCCAACAAGGACACGGGCGTAATCGATGCCCTTGTAGAAGCCGGTGCTGAGGTTGACGCTCAGGGAGGTGAAACGTGTGAGACACCGTTGCATCTGGCAACCAAGCTGGGATCATCCGACGCAGTGGCCATTCTCTTGACGCACGATGCTGACCCGAAATCGTGATAGGCGCTGTGCTCTTCACCTGGCTGCTCAGAGCGGCAGCACTGCCATAATTCAGGCACTTGTGGCTGAGGGTGCTCAGCCGAGCCTTTCTGAAGGCATCAATGGAATGACTTCTTTGGCCCTAGCCGCTGCACGGAGACATGGTGAGGCCGCAGCATCGTTAGTCCTGCATCGACCGAGCGCGAATGCTCAGGACGATCGTCGCCGGACTGCCCTGCACTGTGCTGCCTCCAACGACAATGTGGCGGTCATCGATGTGCTTGCCGCCGCCGGGGCTAAAATAGGCGCGAAGGACAAAAGGGGTTGGACGCCTCTGCATTTCGCATCGTCTGGTGGGTGCATTGAAGCTGTTGCGGCGCTCATGAAGCACGGGAGTGACGGCAACATCGTAAATTTCGACTGTTACTCGCCGCTCCACCTTGCAGTATGTAAAGGAGATTGCGCTGCTGTAACTGCCGTGTTGGTAGGCGGTGCGATCCCCACTTCATCAATGGGAAGTTTAAGCCTCCGTTGGTCCTGGCTGCTGATTCCTCCAATTTGGATGTGTTGAAAGCGTTGATTAATCACGGAACCGACGTGAACGGTAGCACCATGTATGGTACCGCCTTGCACGTAGCTGCTACCAAGAAAGATATCGACATAGTCGAAGCACTCATCGCTGCAGGGGCCGACCTCGAGGCGGAGGCAGCCCACGGGGGTACACCTGTTCATAATGCCCTGCAATGGGGGTGTTCTGAAGTCGTCCTGGCCCTGCTGAAGCATGGCGCCCACCCGACCAAGCGGATGGCCAACGGCCGTGGCGGACGTCACGCGGCTGTCGGAGAAAGTAATGTGCTCATCGTTAAACTGTTCTCGCCGGTGGTGCAGACATCGATCTTCGTGACTATGAGGGTTCCACAGCGTTGCACCTGGTCGGTGGCGATTCTGCCGAGGTCGTGGAAATCCTACTCCAACACGGCGCGGAAGTGGAGTCTCGTGATATGGATGATCGAACTCCACTGCACAAGGTCGCCATGACCTACAATAAAAGGTACACCTCGATCGACGCCCTTGTTGACGGAGGTGCTGCGATTGAGACCCCAGACAACTTTGGAAGAACCATCCTCCATCTCGCTTCTTCGAAACACAGGTGTGCAGCAATGAAGGCTCTTCTTCGGAAGGGTGTTGACGTACTTGCCAAAGATAACGACGGACGCTCACCATTGCACCTTGCCGTGTCATGTGAGGCGGATGTCAATGCCGTGCGCGAGACTGTGGACCTGCTGTTGAGATAGGGCGCAGACGAAACTTCCAAAGACACCGTCGAATACGAGGACGTCGAGGACGAGCCATACGTGGGCCGCACCCCGGTAGATGTTTGGAGGGCTCTCGCTGAGATGAATTACGCTTGGGCTAGTTCGGCGGCTCCCATTCGCAGGCTCTTGGTGGGCGCTCAGAAGGACAGAACATGGCGTTGACGAGGCTGGCTGATTTTGTGCCGTGCTTTGCCACACAAGGTGGGGCTGAAAGCGAATGGTGCGGGAGCGAACGATAGAATGGGGAGAAGAGTGCGAGTACGAGGTGATGCAGCGGCAGCATTTGCTGGCGTGCGCGCTGTGGCGGCAAGGTTGCTAGGGGCTTGAACGGTATGGCGGCAAGCGTGGCGGGCTTGAAAGAAGGTGTTTTCAGGAACATCGTCACGTTCCTGTGAGCTTCACGGTGAGTCGTACATTAATCTCAGCACATTTTCATTTCGTGTGGGTGCAAATTTTCGACGTACTGATGGACACCAGGGCATTGCCCTTTTATTGCGTAGGCGTGTTTCCGCTACACGAATGGTGAAAACGTTGTCAAACTTCCTACCCGGTACTTGTTCTTACCAAGCATTTCATGTCGTCTTTCTTGAAGATTTCTCCGTGTGGGTTGTTTATCGTGTGCATGTTGGCTGTGTGTGTTGTTGACCGTCGCAAACACGCAGCAGCTAGCATGCGATTTGTTCCAAGCACATGCCCCGGTGATTTACTGTTTATTCGTAGGGTTAGGGTTAGGGGTAACCCTACGCAGAAGGTTGTTGGTGTTGGAAACTCTGTGAAAAGGATATTTTTCGCGTTGACAGTCGACGAGGGTGTAGGATGGCTGAATTGTTCTCGAACTACAACAATGGCAAGCACCGCAGGAGGAAAGGTGGGAGTACGCTATACATTATAGTAAAATGTAGTACAAAGGTCGTGGTGACCCAGGATGACACATCAAACATGTAGACCGAAAGGTGGACCGGCGCCGAAATCGATCGGACACACCCTCCGTTAAGCTGATCAGCTTTTGTTGTCCAGATGCGTTGGTTTCCTCTGTAGGTCGCATTGCCGCATTGTCGCTTTCATTTGGAGTTATTGTAAGCCTTCAGCTCATCAGGTTCAACTTTTCTAGTCTCAACCTTGCTCGCACACGCTCGTGCTTCTTCGTCCCCGGCAGTCGCCGGCTGTGTTCGGCAGATCCTCTGGCCTTTGGCACCACAGCGCCGTGCAGCCGAGGTGTTACAACGGTCATCGAGGACGCCTGCGAGAGGGGAATGCTTTGATCAGGCTTTGGGTCAGACGTGCATCCTCCTCATTGCTGTGGCACGCGGAAATGGGGGGTGAGAACGGGAGGGGGTGGACAGGGAACACGGTTCGGGCTGCACCTTGACGGAACAATTGAATGAGAGGTTCTGTTGCTTTTCGTGAATTGTTTGAGGAACCGGGTCGGTAGATCTGCCTCGGTCAAATCTCGATTTATTCGTTGTTGCCTTTAGGGACCATTCCTGCACCGCACCCGTGCGTGTCTGTTTTTGGTTATGATCGGAAGATCAGCAATCTTCGCGCTTGAACCGCATGGTTTTCGTTGTATCAACGCTGTAAGGTTGGCACATCCTTGTTCAGATTAAGCCGCAGCCGCCCCTGGAAAGATTTCGTAGAGTAACTATGGCGTTACGCGCAAGTCTCTCTCAATTTTCCAAGCACGGGTCCCGTTGTATAGCGTAAAATAGGCAGGTTGCGCACCGTCGAATATCTATCACTGGTTGCAGATGCAGTCAAATTAGCTTTCTCTCGCTAGCTCGTAAGCGGGTTTGGTTTTCTTTTGGGACTGTGGTGGTATTCGTGATGTCGTCTGAGTTACCAAGGGGTGGACCTTCATGTGTGCGGAAGATGATCATCCCGATCTTCTTTTCGGTGGTAGGGGGCGAGGGGTCTGGTACGAAGTGTTGCGAAATACAACGAGATGAACCCCCCACCAGCGTATTTCGATGTTTCCTTGGTCGTCTCTGCGGTTTCTTTGCTCATTTTTTGGGAAGGGTAGGGGGAGGGGTAACTTTATTTGTTTTGCTACGGTGCAAGAAAAATGACACCCACAAGAGTTACCAGCACACAACTGCAACAGCGGAAAAAAATACTGCATACAGTGCCGCAGAGAATGCTGTGCTCCTCACTAGGGATGGGCTTGTCTTGGCGATTTTTTTCTCCACAGGGTTAATTTAATAGTGTGGAGGGGGGACCTTGATCCCCAAGATGCCACAACGGCATGTCATATTGATTGTAACCCTCTTTTGGAGACCCTTGCGTAAAGGACAGGGGATGGGCATCTCAGAGGATGATGAGATTCTCAGCAGATGTTCAGGAAATCAGTCGATTGGTCCTCTACGCGTTACGTGCGCGCCACCCACGTGCGATATGTTGGAGCTGATGGTTGACATTCGTTTAAATGTGTTCGCCCGGGACATTTGTTGGTGGCCAATAGGACCCGCAATCGTGAAAAAGCAGGCATGTGTACTGACAAAATTGCAAAAACACAATAGGAGAGTATGTGCTAGTGTAGCATCCTTCTCTTTCAGTGGGAATGCCGTTACTTGATCTTGTGGGTCTGCCTTCAACCGTTTTTCGATAACGCTCTCTCATGCTCTCTTCGTAAAAACATGCTGCACCGGACTGGGAATCGCCAGTTGTTTCATCTGTGCCGCTCTTCCATGAGGATTTTGACGAAAGGGTCATAATCTTCCTTATTTCCATGGAACGTCGATCTGGTGCGCGGAGTGTCAGCAGTAACAGATACATTATCCGTTCCTCTGTTAGGGCTAGAGCTGAAGCTCGAACGCAGTATTCCAGCGCAAAAGACGGCGGCGCCAAACGTTTCCATGCAACTTTCGACTTGCTGTGAGCGCGACAGAATTTTCAAGTGAAGTAAGGACAGACCGGTTAGCCAAAGCATCGGAAATCGTGGACCAATCTCAGGACAAAACCCCATAGATGTGGCGAAACCTGGGGCCTGTCAGCTCTGGATTTCAATGGTAAGCGCATTGTGCCGCTGAGATGGATGTCGTTACTCAGCGTTCGGTTACTATCCATCCACTTACATCAACATGGACAAAAGCTCGGCTCGACAGCACACTAAACCCGCAGTTCCAGTCGCCGCGACGAACAGGATACCAGACGCTAGAGACGATTCTGCTAGGAGGGATTCCGTCACCCCTGTTAGCGTCTCAAATGTAAATCTTCACTCCTTCCAGCCCGTGTTGCTGGAACCTGGTGGCCACCAAGTCTCTTGGTAAGCAAGCGTCAAGCATGTGGAAGCGTTATGGTGACCTCCATGCCCACCGGGTCTAGCCGGCCTCGATGCACGCTGATCGTCGAAACCTTTCTCGGAAAACGGACGAGGCAGAACGAGTCACCAGAATCAATCCAAACAAGGACGTTAGGCGGGGGTTCTCAAGTAGGTGTTGACAGCACATCGTTTTCGTAAACTGCGAGTATATTCTCGCTCATACTTAGGGGCTGGTATCCGAGCAAAATGCTCTCAGAGCCGTCTCTCTTCACTCCGATGTAATTCTCCAAACCATCCACAACGTACATCCAATCCATGGCAGGCGCTGTGGCCGAGGAACGCCATTCAACCAAAATGTACTAGATACCCGATCCCAATGTTCCCGCGAATGTGAACGGACGTTTGCGTGGTAAAGATCCCTCTAGATACGGTTAGCACAGAAAAAGTTACGCGGGCTAGTTACACCGAAATTGCCGGTACTGCACACTACTATCGTTGACGTCCACGAATCGAATCGGAGCTCCCACCAGCGTGCCTAGACGGCAACCGATACGTGCTTTCGGCACCAAGAGGGCCTAAATATCGGTCGTACCTCTGAGGAGTCCAACGCAGTCGGAGCCAGAGCTTCCTTCACCTCCAATAAGCCCTGGTTCGAGTGGTCCGTGTCATGAGCCAGCCAGGAATCAGCTTGGTCTATGCCAAGGTGGTGGAGGCATCATACTCAATCCGTCCCTTCTCAGGACGGGAGGCAATGCCATCGTGCCTCTCTGAAGATTTTACCCACTAGTTGACGTGCAACGGTACCCCTGTGCTGATATCATGGTCTAAGTAATGTTGTGTATTTCGGGGATAAAAAATTAAGACTGACTCTGTCCTTTGTGACGTAACGGTAGCCGACTTCAAGGGGTGGGGGTGAGCCTATTTGTTGAAAAAGAGTACATCTCCAAGCAGGGAAGGGCACCAGACCTTGAACAACAGGCGATATATCCCGACTACCGGTTGTCGTTCCTGAAACGCGTTTGAAATTGTGGCAATATTCATGCCACATATCAACACCGACGTATGCTGCGCGCATCTCGGCGAACCGACCAGCATATACCAAGCTAAGCAAACAACGGGGGCCCAAGTCCGGCTTGCCTGGTCTCCGGGATTCTTGGTGATGCCTGCTACAAACCCACCGCCTCCGGCTCCGCAGCCGGACAGCCCGTGACAAAAAGGCCTCATCCTTTCTAGAAGGGCCTTGACCGCAGGCGGTTCAGCTCCTGAGCGAAACATTTGTCCGTGCAAGAGACACGTTTAGGGAGAGTGGCACGTATTGCAAAGGCAATCTTACGGCCGTGCTGCAGTAGACGACGCGCACGTCAAGACGTTTTGGGTAGATGAAAAGCAAGAAATAAGGAATCAGGGACATCACGTTCGTGGCCTATCCTGTAGTTCGCGTGCACTCTTGTGCACGAACGGAACTTGCGTCAAGATGATGTCTTGGTCAATGTGTCGTGCCTCCATGGTGCTGGTGGACAAGTGAATTGTAGGACGCGATTGCGATGTTGAGCATGCCTCCTTCCCTCCTTTGAAGACTCTCCTCTTGTGGTTGTTCTCATCCGAAGATGATTAGAAGCATGTTAAGAAACACGGGAACACCAAGCACAAAACAACATGGGGGGCTACCAACCGTTGCCTGCCGCCGTGGAATGCCGAATATGATTCGACAACAACCACAGAACAAACTTAAAGGTCACTTCACTAGGGGGTAGGCATCCGCTTCGGAGGTTTCGTATTTCGCCAGCAAAGCAAACGCAACTTCTTCATTTGAAGACCGACCCGACCCGGGAACACCTTCTGCATCATGCTCTCAGTTCACTTCTATGCGAGCCACACCTCTTTGTCCGGCATACGTACCCCAGTCCAGAGTATGGCGAGCACGGTGCTTTGGGGGTGCCAACAATCGCACCAAAAAAGCGCCGTCTTCGCACACTAAAATCGCAAAACGAGAGTAACCCACCTGGCGCCATGCGCTTTTTCTGTACCCAGTAGGTCGAGAGGCATCGCCCCAGGGCTTCCAGGTCTCCCGCACCGCGGCAAGCATTTGCGGCGTCCTCTGCATTGGACACCAGACCCTGAAGGTGGGGAGAAGAACAGATTGGGCGCGGTTACACCAAGAAAGGGCTTCAAACCCTTCGTGTGGAGGTACCGGTCGAATTTGTCGCCTGGAGATGGAAACCTGTGTGCAGAGTCTCCTCAACACTTCAATTCGTGCGCAATGGACCGCTAGAGAAGCGAACGTGGGCAGGATACTGAAAGTCAAGCAGCATTGATTTTCCTTGAGGCTGCGGACAGCTGAGCTAGGCTCCCACGCAAAAGATGCCAGCGGCGGGCAGCCACAGGAACAAGGGGACACTCATACCTACGCTATAACAGCAAGCGCTATTTACAATGCGAACAAGAAGAAGGACGGGAACAACCGGTGGCTGAGCCGTGTTCAAGCAAAGAAAGGCGCACCTTGACGGTGTTGGCGGTGCCTGGAAGGCGGTCGTGCCATCCCCTCACCACTCCCTGGAGCAAATCTCTGCAACCAAGCGCGAAAATTCACAAGTCAAGAAAAATATTTTAGGACCCGACGAAAGGATTGTACATGAAAAGAATATGCCACCGTGCAGAACAAGAGGTCATACACTTTATTCTCTCTGCATGCCAAGACTAAACGCTGGCATGTGACAACAAAATGAAAAAAGGCTTGTCGCCTTGTGCCACGTCTCGGCGACCAGGCAACAACTGCGACACAGAAACTTCTACCCGCCCTCTGGTAATATCCCATACCCGTATGAATACGCGACAACCCCAACCCATCTCTGACCTAGCCAATCGTTGCTTGCCGGTGAAGACGAGAACTAGCCGGTCGTTCAGAGCAGCCTCGAAGGTCGGGTCGAGCGGAATCGTATTTGTACGGACCTAACAGGATGGAAGTTCACAACACAGCTTGACCTCACTGGTTCACTTGTTGTGGAATGATTGAAATTCCGACCTGCAGCACTACTCGTGGGACAGCCCTCGTTGCGAAGTCGTTGGAATGTCCATGTACAGCAGAACTCGTGGAACAACGCTGCATAAGATATCGTTGAACTTCTCATGTACCGCAGAACTCGTTGGAACCGCAAAGAGCATGGCTGTAAGAACAATCGGACAATGTGATGAAAAAGGCTACTTCGCAAATACGAGGGCACGCGTCGCAACACAACTGGTACATTTGAGTTGGCGTCGAGATTATTTTGTTTCGGTTGCGGTCCACATCGTCGAGCTGCAAGCGCTCAAGGAGCAGTTCGAAGGAACCGTCCATAGTCGCGAGCCACCCCGTTTGAATACACTGCCTACAGTAGGCCGTCGAAGGCGAGGCACTCGACAGAGTCTCAATGGAGCAGACAAACCTCGGTCTCATTGTCAAGGGCTTTACGATGTTCAACATTCAACCGTCTTCACCGCTATGGCACAAGCCACCACTGACCCTCCAGACTGCCAACAGTCATTTCGTCTGGCATCCCCACGGAGAAACGTTCGTTACATGAACAGACAAGCAATGGCTGGCCTCATCGGAGCATAGGCGAACATGTCATACATTCCAGGGAGCAAACGAGAGCCTCTGAAAAGATACAAAACATACCTGCAGAGGCAAGCTTGCCGATGTCCGGCAGATCTTGACGCCGCCGAGCAACCCGCCTACTTGGTCCTGGTGTCCGCCGCCTTCATTTTCGCAACAAGACCAGAGTGGTCACGAACACGTACCCACGAGTAGTCATCGCCCACACTTTGCAGCCCTGCCTACCGTACGTTCCTGAATGAAACGTTCGATCCGGGGGCGCACAGGCGACCCCCACATGTCTGAATTCCCTACAGCACCACCCCGAGGGTTCAGCAGTGTCTTGCCTCAAAATCAGGCACTTGGAGACAACAGGGTCGACAGGGTAGGATACGGCATGCGGAAGCAACCACTTCTGTGATTTGGAACTGCACGCCTCCATTGGTAGCAGCCAACACTCGTGGAGGATAAGTGAGAACCGAGGCATGCGTGCGTTGTACGAGCATCCAACGTGAAAACATTGCAGCGGAACATAAACCAACCAGCACCCCTGCTCGCTTCCGAAGCAACATGTTCCCCGACCCGGAAAAAAAATCTGCGAGACGAAAGATACGCCAAGTCGTGCCACGACTAGCTTCTGAAAACGAGAACCAGAAGAAAAATCGTACCGATCAACAACGAGGTTCATGGCGCGGAGTGTCCTGATCTCAACATCGCCGGCCCCACCAGTGACGTAAGAGTATCACAACAGAGCACCCAAAACATTTCAAGGGCAGCGAAAGGACGGAACGGTTCGATTCGCCCAGACGCACCGGCTGTCATGAGTTGCTCCACCCTCAGAACGGCGTGCACCAGGCTTGTGGGGGACATAGCCCGACCTGCCGCCACGCAAACTACGCTGAGTACCACACCTGCAGGATGATTAGGTGCCGGTCACGGTCGAATATCCAACGAATGGTCAGCAGGGCCCGTTGTCGAGAGTATGTAACGAGTACGGTGACAAGGGTGCTCGCGAACGACAGCAAGGAAAATGGCGTGAGATCAAATCATAAGCCACTGGATGAGCAAGCACGGACTATTGGCTGCATCCAAACCAGCCCGCGGCTGTCGCGGCGAAATTCTACCTGGTGCGGCCCGCGCGAAACACGGGGGTAGCTCCCTCGTGGCATGTGAGAAGGCTCCAAAGGCTGCCTGTATGGCACCCATCAGCTCGAAAATGCTTACTGAAATACTAAGGCAACGTCTAGAGGTATGACCCAACATCCAAGCACGGATATCATTCTCCGAGAGCACCGAATGGGATACTCCATTTTTGGAACGAAGCAGCAATCATTTTCTTTCCTTGAAACAGCAACTACCAAAGAAAAAGCTATCCGAAGCCGTGTCTACCGCTAGGCCCAAAGAGAGCGGATTTGCAAAGCTTACCGGCAAGAATGCTGCTTGTTCCCATGCCCGATCCCTGAGGAAGTCCCGACCGACTGGTGATTCGGATGCCCCCGCATCCGAACACTATGGCCAGCTGCTTCTCAAGCGACAATAACGACGATCCTTGCTTGCAATCAGGATCGCCCGCTGTCGACACGGCGGAAGCATGCGAGTCTTCGGCATCGGCGTTCGCTGCCGTGCGGTTTCCGTCTGAGGAGGCGGCGGTAGGAAAAGGCACGATCCCGGCGCATATGAGGGCCGCCTTCAGGAGCGCCGCGGGAGCATGTGGGACGCAGAAATCTCTGGGGATACCGGCCAGTGACCATGCAAAGGGAGACGACGAGAGCGAACGGGGGGCGAGAGATGGGGAGTGCGGAGAATGTGATGGTCGGAGCGAGGCTGTCCGGCGCAGTGCTGCCCCAAGGGGAGCCGAATTTCGAGTCAAGCAGAAACGGAGAGGCAGCACGGCTTAGAAGCTTCAGAGTTTGCCTCAAAATTGGAGCAACAGCTGCTCAACGAGGAAGTGAAAGAGAAGAAACCCTGGACCGATCCGATATGACCCTATTCCTCCGTTCAACACCATTTTAGGCCACAGCACTTACGAGAAGTCTTCGAGGCTAGAGCAAACCGTCCTCGATGTCATGGTTCCCTCGCGCCCCACACAGACAAGCTCCACTCTGGCCGCTTCGATCCGCTCGCACCGTGCCTCGATGGGCTTCTCTCCCGACACCGTCACCGCAGCGTTCAAGACCGCGCCCCCCGCTTCGTATGAAATGGGTGGCGTGTCGGTCCACCCGCCGGCCAGATCGACTCTTGCGGCAGCCCTACTAGTGATACAAGCCCCCACGGGGAGCGCTTGCTGTTGGGACTCCTCTGGAGCCTGCTGCCAGCGCCGCCGTTCCTCCTGAACCCGCCGCTGTGTTAGCTCGGCGTTCTTTGTCGCGATGGTGCGGTGGTTGACGTGTACCTGGGAGTGTCGGGCTAGGGCTTGGTCTCGAGGGTTCATCCTCGAGATCCGCTCCTCCAGCAGTTGTCTCTGCTGCTCCTTGTCCTCCAAGGTGGGGCCGGCATCATCACCCGTGCCGCCGGAAACACTGTCGACCACATCACTTCCGCCACATTTTTCGTTGGCAAAATCCCCCCCGGTAGCCCCTCCGGCGCTAGGCATCGCCTGGCTTTCCTTGTTTGCCCCCGAACCTAGCCCCCACCTAGCGGGCGGGAGTTCCACGAAGAGGGAGGCGGTTCGTACCGCGGCGGAGACCACGACAGCAGCCGCGCGCTCGTAGTGGCGGGCGCATCGTACCACGAGATGTGGCTCCACGTGCGAAAAAGAAGCGGCTTGGGTGCCGCCGATCGTGGATCGCTTCTGCGGCAGCGTTTGTGATGCATCCCTGGCCGGAGGCCCGCCTTCCCAAGGAAGAAAACGAAAGGGACGCGGAGCGTGAGGCTGCTGCCTTATACCGAGGAATAGAGCGGTGGATTACGGGAGTTGCCTGCCAACACAAACCAAAAAAGAGACAGATGTACCGCATCTGGGACGACGGAACTACAACCAAATATGTCGATCTTCAACCCCATACTCTGATTGCTTCCCAGACGTGACGGGGTACGAATCGATCAGCGGTCCTACACTCGTACACAGAAGGGGTGGGGGTTTTATGGCTTCTGCGAAATGTATTCCATGCTTCGTCTCCGCAGCGGCGAGAAAAGCAATCTAATCAGGCCGGACGCTGCACACCCCTTCGCTTTCAGACGTGGAGAGAGCATTGCCGTAGGTGTACCTGCACTGCCAAGCCACAAGTCGCGGCGGCATTTCAGGGCCGCCACCGACGCCGGGAGCGCAGCCGGAGGGCCCCACCCATTGCCGTCGGGGAGGGGACGCAAGGTGTCCAAGCCCCTCATGGCCGCTTGCCATTCGGGGTTCTCGCCAGGACCACTCCGGTGACCGCCGCCTGACAAATTGTCAATGGTGCCGACAGATGAAGAATGTTGATCGACGAGATTTGGCGTGCATGGTGGTTGTGCTTCGAACTGGTGAGCTTGGATGATTGTGGCCAGTGGGCCAAATACACCCTATTCTGCATGAGGCAGCACCCCCACAAGAGATACCACAAGCCCTCGAGGTGCCACAACCAGAATACCACACCGAGTGATACTATCTTGCGGCTCGACACGAGCCCAAAACGAAAACACATGCTCAGATTAAGAGCAGGACCACAGAAAATACCACCCCCACCACGGATACCACACCAGTTGACGATTTTGTAAAGGGCAAAACTCTGTGGTCGCCAGGGGCTTTGACCTGCGTGGAATACGGTACGCGACATGCCTCTATGTAATTGAAACGTTGTTCAGAGCTCACTTGCCAAGAGGAACGAGGCAAGTATGTCTGTCGCAGCCGGCCTCTCATGGACAGGAACTCACTCATATTCCGGCTTCGTCCTAGAGCCATTTGTAAAGAACTCCGCGAAAAAATCGAAAAAAAGAAACCTGCGGTTCTTCACGTGAAAGCCGTGCCCACCATATCACTGAGCCATGTCAGAATAGGGATAGGGTTAGGTTTGTTGGAACGACTACGGTATACGTGCGGTCAGGGCACTAAAACGCTTTAATAACCACAAGCGCGAGCCACCTCCTTCCTAACACATGGTGAGCGCATTTTTTCAGCGGCGACGGCGACAGCCAAAATGGTGACGGCTGTCGCTGTGGCTACTCCAGCCCAAATGTGGATGCACGCTTTTCTTTCGTGCGGGCTTCACCTCCGAGAATGTCCGCCAGCTCGTAAAGACGGCACGCCACCCTCGCCAGCGCTTGCGCCGCCCCCGCCGGGGTACACCCCTCATCCTTCGCCCTTTCGTCCAGCTCCGTCAGACCCGCAAGGGCAGAAGTGACAGCGGCAGCGGTACCAGCGGAAGCAGGAGAAGAAGCAGCGTGGTCGGGACGGAGGTCACCGCTGTGGACGCGTGAGCGCGGCTCTGTCACGGCCGATCGTTGTACTGGTTCCGGCGAGGGCGTGCGCGCTGCTGCCGTTGCTGCGGCCAGAAACTCTAGCGCGCTAGTCGTACCAGTCGGAGACCCCGGAGGTACGGTTTCCGGGACAGGGATGGCGTTGTCTACGTCCAGGTACGTCAAGCCCTGGTACTGGGACAATCTGCAGTGTTGATGTTGTCGCAGACGACAGGGAAGGGGCAAAGTCGTTGCCACAGTGCGGACGGGCGCGTCCGCGAGTGTCCGAGTGTGAGAAAGTCGACGTGCGGTTGTTCTGCCCCCCGACACTTCCACAGGTGTGGCGAATTCTCACGTTCAAACAGATGAAAAGGGGGTGCTGGTCGGTCCCGACCGGAGAGGATCTAATGCCAACAGCAAATGAAGGCCTAGTCAACCGTGGGAGAATGTATATCTGCTGATCCGAAATCCACTGAAGGAGAGGATGCGGTGCGCGCGAGATGCGATGATTGCAGCTTGGGCGTGGCCAAGACCGGCGCAATGCTCTCGCAACTTCATGCCGTGTTGTACCGGCGAGCCACCGGGTTTGGCCAGCTACGATTGATTCCGCAATGTTGGAAAAAAATCTCGCATGTACGCATAGCTCCTAGGCATCAAAAAAAAAAAAAAAAGGGTAACGTCCCAATCATCAGCTTCGGTCTCGCTTCACACGTCACGTCAACAGGTGCGACGGACGGTGAATGCAGAAAAAAACGAGCAAGTTGGTCAACGCTCGGAATACCTCAAGGCAACAAACCTCTAGTACGACAAGTGCTCCTTCTTCCGTGAGCAAACTCCGAGAGACTTTCATTGCGACAAACGTACAAACAACGTATTTATCACCTCTGGGGCAGCTCGAGAAGCGGAGCGAGGGACTCCTCACGAAGGAGGAACATGCTTCCGTCCCGTTGGAGCACCCACACGCCGGCTGGAAATGGCAACGGCAAAGCGTTCCAGAAAACGAAAGGTCCATCATCACGAAGAAGGCGTGTTTATGTGTCGGAGGGGAGAGCCCGCCGAAAGCAGAGCAGGTTTAAAAAACAAGCGGCACATGGCATTGGTCGATCGAAGCAAACGTCCACTTGGCGATAGACGAGGTCGGCATCTCTCCACCGGAATCCACCTTCGTGCGTTCCGAAACCGCCGAAACCTTCATTGTCTCACCTTGCGCGGCGCAATCAAGATCACACGCTCCCGGCACCCCGTCTTCGACGATTTCGTCCCAATTTTTTTTTTCCTCGGAAACCCCCTCGACGCACAGCAGCACGCACATGCCCCTCAGTGCCTCGGCGCTGGTGTCTGACCCGAACCGCGCCCTCTTGAGAGCGCTGTAACGCTCCGCAACCACCAAGAGGGCGTTGAGGACGAGGGGGCCGTCCCGATCCATCCGCCGGTCGGGCGTGTCGCACGGGCGAGGCGGGGGCACGCAGAACGCCGCCATTGCCCCCCGCCCTGGATTGAAACAGGCGGGGAGCATATTTAGTACGGAAACTGTGGTTTGACATGCATAAGTGAGCAGGTTTTGGCGGTGTGTACTGTAGCCTCAACATGCTGCCGGCTCCCATCATTTTGCTTGTTGCGTATTGTTTCGCCGATTGACTTTTCCAGGAAGACAACAACCACAGCATACATTGCCACGCCGTCTGGGGGTGCTTAACCGTGCACGCTTCAACTGGGCACGCACGCAGGCATCCGAAGTTGACCAAGGGAAAACAAAACCCCCGCGTAGAGAAACGCACGGGCGAAACCCCCAGCCCAGGTACCCCGATTCTCTACGCGGGGGGTTTGTTTTCCCTTGATCAACTTCGGATGTCTGCGTGCGTGCCCAGTTGAAGCGTGCACGTTTAAGCGCCCCCAGAAGACGGGGCAATTGTTGTTGTTGTTGTTGTTGTTGCTGTTGATGTTGTTATTGTTGTTGCTGTTGTTACTGTTAATACTTTTTTTTGTTGTTGTTGCTGTTGATGTTTTTGTTGTTGTTATTGTTGATGTTACTGTTGTTTTGGTTGTTGTTGTTGTTGCTGTTGTTACTGTTGTTTTTGTTGTTGTTGTTGTTGTTGCTGTTGATATTTTCACGGTGATTCTCAATCGGCAGGAACAACACGCGACAAAGCTTTTCGAGGAGAGAGGAAGCAGAATGACGGGAGCCGGCACCATGTGAAAGACTGCAGTACACACCGCTAAACACCAGCAGGCCGAGGGACTGCGCTAGGAGAGCAGCGAGGAAAAGCAACGAAATGACCCAATCAATCGAAGAACACTGCCTCCCCGTCTGGGGATCTGACCGTACAGGTGCATGGCTGGCTTCTCGGGACTCTAAAATCAGTAAATAGGGCAAGACAATGCATGGATGCTGTCGCCAACCTGCGAGGGAGTCTAGCCACCGACGCGCCTCGGGGAGGTGGCTCAAAGCGGGGGCGACGACGGCGACCGCATCCCACGCCCGACCCCTGCTTGCGAGGCGCGCGAGAGAGGAAGCAGCGAGCAGGGGGTGGGGAGGGCTGCTCCTTGTCAAACCGATGCACCGGTGCGAGAAAAGCAAACTCAAAACGTTGAGAGAGAGGGAGGGGGGGTGCAAGATAGACGAAAGGTTCTGAATTCTCCAAAGGGGTTCTATTGATAGAAACCTCAACCCGGGGGGGCGGGGGGTGAGCGCGAAAATCACTGGGTGTCTTCTGTGAGGTGATCCATTCGTTCGACCCTACGGGTAACGGTGCGGTACCAAACGAGCCCGTTGCAAGTTGGACCGTGTCTTCGGGTTGAGCAGACATAACGAACCTGTAACTCTAGTCAGCCATGCTAGCAAATACTACCACCGGCAACTGAGTTGCAAAAATCGTCTGAGCAGCGGCAGGACAGCTGAAGGCAGCCACAACAAAGTCCGACTGCCAACATTTGGGGGCACCCTTAAGCGAGCTCCTTTCAGCGAACCACAAAAAGATCCCGTACAAGTTAGCCTGGCCCCAGTGGATAAATCAACGGCGTGGGGACATCGGGTAGCATCGTAGCCATCGATTTTAACCACCGGTCAGCCTCCAAATGCTCCCCACCCTACGTAGAAAAATCACATATTTGGTCATACACAGACCCCCCGAGTAAACTGTCGCATACACGACATGCAGATCAGCCCGATTACGAGGTCCACAAAGTCGGCGGCTAACCCCGTCGGCCTATCCTGCCAGGAGAAGAAACGCCATCCGGCCGAAAAAAACGAGCTTGTCTTACATTGTTCTGCAATCTGCGAGCCCGAAGCCCGAGCTTGAAGTCTACAAGACGCAAGATTTGTCGAACGACGGAGGTCCCACGACTTGTACCTTACACTTCAGGGACGTGACCAACCCCTCTGAACAATATCTCACCGCGACGATTGCGCACCATAGCAATTCTGCGGCCGTGCCGTATCAAAACACAAAGGAAAAAATAGTGAAATCCCGCCCTCCAAAAGTATGTCGGCTGAGAATCGCATTTCGTATCGCAGGCGTCTGCTATGGAACAGCGGGCGGGAAGCCAGGCCTCGCCGTCGCCGTTGCTACCACCCACCACATCGTCTTCATTCAAAGCAGCCAGTGGGACATCAAAGGGAGGCTTAGGGGCTTCAATCGGCACCGACGACATGCGAGGACCAGAACAGTGTTCAGTCAGGACAGGGGAAGACTACACAAAGCCTTATAATAGCGAGTGTATTCAACACGTCCATCTCCGTGTGAGTAACCAACGGCAATAGGAAGAAGGCTTGGTCTAGAAAAATCTGTCAACTTACACCTCGCGCAAATCGGCAGGCCCACACGAAGCTTCGATTAGATTCATAACAGCTCGCACTCCTTGCCTGACTCCCTACGCAGTATCTTCACTCGCAAATTGCGGACAACAACAAGTTCAGCTACCAGTCCAGTCTGGAAACAAATAGACAGATATGAGTAGCGTTCGTTCACTTCATGCCCACGTCGAGACAACACTGCGAAACGCAAGCAACTGGTGCAAGAACCGCGAGAACCGCAGGCGAACAAGCTACGGGGAGAGTGAAACCGGCACCATCACTAGGGACACTACAGCAGGTGCGCTAGATAAGCCAACACCTGGGAAGGATCAAAACCTGTGCAAGTGAACACAGATGTTGCTCCGACACGGTCACGGCAAAGGCGGAGAAATAGCGTGTAGAGACGCCTGAACAACCAAGCAACGCACAAAATATTATGGCATGAAAGAGGCTCAAACCAAGTCCACTATTATGCCGACTTTCGCGGTGTGCACTGCAAAACAAATGAAAGGACTACTGCTCTCGCGGCAAAGGTTAACGCAAGGCGCCCGACCGCCGGCAGAAGAAACAGAAGATGCCTCAAGCCTGGAGCAAAACAACTCCTTAAGCTGACGCAATAAAACACAGCTAGAGTGAGGTACCACACACCTTGTGGGGAGGAATGCCAACACGGACCCAAGAGTTGAAGCCAGAGCATGCATGCGACTGCTGCATGAAAAGAAAAATTCAGACTCCGGATATGACGCACGCATGTGGAGACGGCGTGCGAACACAGGAAGTTGCCGAAACCCCGATAACTTCCCGCTATGCCACAAAACAAAGTTTACGAACAATCCCAAAAAGCCATAACTGACTAACCCCCCCCACGCCGTCACTTCGTGCCCGAAAGAGGTTCTTACACGGTCGGGTCAAGTCCCCCCTCTTGTCTTCCACTGTCCGCCACTGTCCGGAGAAGGATCTCCAAAAGGTCGCACACAGAGAGGGCAGGACGTGCGAGCAGACAAAAACGGACGCGGAGAGGGAGAAAGAAGGCAGCAAAAACCAATCCCCACCCACGCGCCTACCTCCCGCTCCCCACCGGCGCCGCCGCCTGTGCACCAGCAGCGGGAACCTTTGCTGCCATGCCCTCCTCGAGATGCCTCCTCCATCGGAATTCCGCTCCGGGATTCGCCTTCGCCAGTATCTCCTTGAAGGAAAGCCGCTCGGCCGCCAGCCAGTTCTTCACCGCCACCGGCTTGGTCGCGGCGATCCCGCCACCTCGATCTCCGGATATCGGGGGTGAAGAAACGTCGCCGCCGGGGGGCGATGAAGAAGGGCAGGCGGTGGCGACGGCTGCGGCAGCGGCGTGTTCCTGGACGTCCTGCATCCACATGACCGTGTTGATGCTTGTGGACGAGGTACCCGCGGCTTGACCTTGGATGCGGGTTAGGACGGGAAACAGGCGCGCCTGACCCATCCGGGGAGGAGACCGGCATCGGTATCCACATGTGAATAGAACGAAGAGCAAATGCAAATGGAGAAGAAATTGCCGGTAATGTTAAGCCTTTTCTGGAGTAGCCTTCGCATTCAACCATGAGTCCATCTTCTTTCAGTCCCAAATCCTACCCAACCAGATCTCAAACAGCCCTTCCAAAAACATCTGGGGAACTTTCTTGAGATGTTTCTATCCCGCCCGCATCCGCTGCCGCCGTTTGTCAGCATTTTTTTTTTTTCTTAATATGACACAACGAATCCATCTCTATCTAAGAAAAGAGTCCAAGACAGATTTGCAGATTTGTCAGCATTTTCCGCCTTGCAGATAAACATCTCAAGTAAATCGTCCCACCCTGGTCAACACTCCACCGCACCGCCACGTACCCCCAAAGAGAGGCTCCCCGAGAGAGTGGCTAACACATTGTTTCGCCACAGCAGAGTAACAACCCAACCGCGATTCGTCCCAGCCGAGACACAGAGAAAATCCAACCTGTTCTTGACAGCGCAGCCAGACAAAAAAAAACGCCGATAACGTTCTTCGCACAGAGCAACAGCAACGCTCACCGACCACAGCTTGCGGTCGCCCTCCTCGATCCCACCCCATAGATCCTCCACGGTCGCGCCTGTGTAACCGAAGAACGCCTCCCAGGTTGCGCCGCAAACCCTCGCCCTCTCGGCCGAGTAGTGTGCCTTGATGTCGTCCCTCGTGCCGAACAGGCTGACCACGAACCTCGACGCCGGCTCCTCAGGAGAGGCGCGGTCGAGGTCGGTCTGCTGGAGACACATGCCACCTCGAAGACGCAGATGGCAATCTGGTATTTGGACGGGGGGGGGGGGGGGGGGGG